CGCGACCCCCACTCTCCAGTGGGCGGAGGGGGTTAAGGTGGAGAAGGTTACGCCACTAACCTGAAGAAGCCTCTAAGTGGAGACAACACTGACTTAAGATCTTCTTATTCACTGTTTATTCATTTTGTCTATTTATACAATTTATAGGCCGCCTGACTCCCAACGATTCTGGGTGGCTTACAATTCATTATTGTGAACTGCCCATTGTCCTCAAATTTGTTGATTGATTAGATTTATATGTCCCTGAACCCTACTAGACTCCCGGTGGCTTACAGCAGCAAAAGCATACCGAATAATAAAAAATGCAACTCAACCCAAACAACATAGTACAATTAAATAAGAAAATAAATAGTAATGTAAGAACAGTGTCAATACAATACATGAAATAACAGATGCCAATGATTCCATTCCCAAAAGGTCTCCAGAAGAGAATGCATTTAGCTGACTTTTGGACGGCCATAACCAAGGCAGCCAAGTGGTTCCAAGCCATGTTGGGCATTATAAGTCAAACGTAGCCATGTGAATTTCCCCCAGAAACCTATTAGCAGCCAATGCAGAGCCTGGACAATGGGCAAGGTGCAGCTTCTGGATGGTCTTCAAGGGCAGCCCCATGGAGAGCCCATTGCAGAAGTCTAACCAAGCAGCGATAAGGGCATGAGTCTGTAGCCAGGTCCTCCTGCTTCAAGAAGGGCTACCACTGGCACACCGACGGCATCTGGCTTCCACCAGCTGGAATCCAAGAGAACCCCAATTCATAGACTTGCTCCCTGATGGGCAGTGCCACACCTTTGAGAGATGACACTAGAGTCAGCAGCGAACAGCAATGTGCAAAGAGCTTTTAACATCTTTCATTTCATTCAGACCTCAGCATCTGCAGGACAAGAATTTGGTGTCCTCCATGGCTGGGACTTAGAAGGCAATATAGTAATGCACCCCAAATTCTTGGATGACCTCTCCCAGAAGCTTCATATTAAACCAGAAGACCAAACCCTACAGCACCCCATGACAAGAGTGTCCACTGACTGGAACCATCTACTGAAGTAGGAACAAAATCACTGTCAGGCAGGGCCCCAACCCTTGAAAGCAGCTCAGATGGATATTGTGGTCAATGGTAGCAAAAGTCACCAAGATGCATGGACTTCAAATCCCAGAATTCCCTAACCAGTATGGAGTCTGTCCAGACATCTTAAAAGTTGCCAAGGTTGAGAAATGCTGTTTTAGAGGAAGTAAGTGTATTCCAGAGAAATATCAGGCAAACAGGAAGCTGCCTCACACTAAAAAAAATACTGTTATTGCTCAATATTGGCTCTTCTGAACATCAGCTAGGTCACAAAGCAGTTTGTTCAATCCTGGCTGAATGGGTAGTGTGAATTCAGCTGTTGTGGTTTAGGTGGTTCATGGTTTCATGCATTGTTGAAACCTAGCTATTTATCATTTGTTCAATATACCATTGTTAGTTCAACCAGAATTTAGCATGTTCATTTTATTTATATACCAAAATGTGTGTCACCTATTCTTCAGATGCTATGTTGCACCAACACAGTGATGGTGCATTCTAACATTCCTCTACCTGGTGCTCTCCAAATCTGTTGGATTTCAAAATTCCCAGCCAGTCTCCTGGGAGAATGAAGTTAATTCATCAGAAAAAGAAAGTTTTGTTTACTAGGCTCCTCAAAAATGTTTGAAAAAAGTTAGATATCAGGTATCTTGTGCTGGTGTTGTAAGACATTTGAGGGATCTTTGACGCATATGATTTTGGCATGTCCAAGTTGCTTTCAAGTTCCAGCATGTTATTTTTGTATGGGTGTGCCTTCAAGTCAGTGTTGACTCCTGGCAACTGCCTGGACTTGTCCGTGCAGTTTTCTTGGCAAGGTTTTTTGGAAGCGGATTGCCCTTGCCTGCTTCCTAGGGCTGAGTGAGAATGACTGGCCCAAGATCACCCAGGTGGCTTCGTGCTTAAGGGAGGACTAGAACTCCCGGTCTCCTGGTTTCTAGCCTGGTACCTTGAACCCCTAGACTGACTCTCTAATGTAGTCTTGGGGGAAAATATAGTAGGTGAAGGTGTAAATATGATCTTGAATTTCATTCCCCAAATATGGAATTTGACATGTTATGAAGAACTGCCTTTATCAAGTCTGGAGCTTGCCAAAGAGAACTATTTTACATTGATGGAAAGAAAGTTATACCCTAATCT